GCCTCGCAAGCACGCACACGCCCTCACATATGCAAGATGCCACCCCTCACACACACACACACACACACACACACACACACACACACACACACACACACACACACACACACACACACACACATACACACACTTCAGACGGCGCAAGCGGTTGCCATGTCGACGCAAGACCAAATCACTGAACTGCGAAAGACACTGGAACCTGGTCTACGCACGTGTGCTGATGATGTGGAGCACCTCAAACTGACCACCCGCGATTTCTCCTCCCGCGTCAGTTCCACCCGCTCTTTGTTGTCGCACTTCTGCACTTGCACACGTTCTGTGGCCGGCAACCCGGGCTTGTGTTCATGTCTCAAACACACACGCATTCAGTTATGCATTCGCACACACGCGCATGCATTCACTTATGCGTTCACACGCGTTCACATGGAGTACACTCACATTCACATCCACACACGAGTTCACAACGCTCATGTTCACATCCACATCCACATTCACATCCACATATGCGTTCACACACTCATGCTGCCCCTTGATGCAGAACAATCTGGTTTGGGGCAGTGTTGGGGAGCTCAAGCAAGAGCTTGAAGCGTCCAAGCGTAAAGTGGTTCATCTTGAACGCTCAGTGGCGCAACTTAGTACGTGCTATTCGCGTTTCATGTATGTGTTGTTCACGAGAGTACCCGAACCTTTGCACACACACACACACACACACACACACACACACACACTCTCTCTCTCTCTCTCTCTCTCTCTCCCTCACACACACACACACACACACTCACCCAACCACCCAACTATTCTTATAGAGGATGTGATCAAGGATCTACTCTCGCGCCTCTTTGACCGCCACATCAGACCTTTGCAGCAGAAAGTCGACGCAATCGTACGTGCTTCTTTTTGCCACGCTCTGTTGCAACATCACATGTTGATGCAGATGTTGTATCACACCGCACGAGTCCCACACTCACCTACTCACGTCTTCCTGGATTACGTGTCTATGTGTGCACGCTAGGCCAAGGCAATGCATCATGCCCGCTGACCCACACCAGTTCAGGCCGTCCGTTGTTGCTGCCGCGTACATGCCCCAACCCCTTATTGCACCTCCTTCCCCGCGTGCTGACTTTGCTTGCGGCGTGCTGGCCCTCGTTTCATGGTCGCGCCACTGTTGCTGTTGTCGATCAACACATACATACACCTGATGAACGCAATGACACCATCGACCTTGCACACACACACACACACTCTCTCTCTCTCTCTCTCTCTCTCACACACACACACACACACACACTCACAGACATACGCACTCACTTACGTACACATACACGCACACTCACTCAGTCAGTGTGGCTATCGCATTATCTTCACATGAGCAACTCTGTAATCAATGAGAACAAAAACGAAAGAAAGAGCTGTGAACAAAACCAAAGTGACATGACGGTACCTCCCAGCAAATCAGCAAGACACTAGTTCACACATCATCATCACATCAACCATGCATGCAACGTTCAACTACAAGCAAACACCGCCAATTGAAGCAAACAACAAACCAGAGACCGCCAAACGAAAATGTCATCCACTCATGAGCCCACTCTAACGTCCCCCTCACGCCTCGGCGCGGCCCACAGCCACACCCGCCGAGCAACGTAACGATTCGCCCATTGAAACACACACACACACTCACACACACTCACATGTACGCTCACTCACACATACACACTCACATGTACGCTGACTCACACATACACACACACACTCTCTCTCATACACTGTCTCTTCTCTCTCAACACCAGCACAACCTCACGTCTGCTGCTTAAGGAGAGAAAGGCAGCGGCTTATGTGTCAGGTCATGTCACCGGCGTCGTCAAAATCGTCGTCGTCATCGTCATAATCCTGGGCGCGTGAACCCCCTCCATCATCAACACTCGAACGTGCACCGGCATCTGTGAGCGCGCGCTGGACGGCATCAAACTCGTCCAATAACTGCTCGTCTCGGCCATCACCGCCAGCGTCATCGTCATCACCATCATCATCGGCACCAGTCAAGAACGAGCTGTCCTCTTCGCGCAGCTGCTCCATCGGCTCAATCGTGCTCTGGCGGGCACTGGCAGGGCCCACGCCAATGTACGATCCGCGAGGCGGTGGCGCCATCGAATCACGCGGCGATACCGTGTCGCCAGCATCAAAGTCAAACGTCACATCCGCCTCATCAACAGACTCTGGACGAACATCCGGCCCATCATCGTCCACATCCATCACAGCCTGTGAAATGAGGTTTGAGATGGCGTCGTTTGGATCATCGTGGATGGGCGGCTGTGGTGGTGAGCGTGCAACCCTGCGCGCTTGCTCTTGTTCCGCCAAAACCAGATCACCCTCAGACCAGGAGCCCTTGGGTGTCTGCGGCTGCAGCGATGACCATGCCGCAACAGGGTGTGCACGAAGTACCGTGTCCTGGTACTGGTGCCGTGCAGCTGCCTCCGCATCCGACCGCGCGTGATCATTACGACGCGACAAGCGAGTGAACAACAGCACAAAAATCAGCAGCGCAAAGAGACCCAGGTTGACACACCCAAGAATGACGGCCAGGTCTGCGGTGGATGCCGCTTCGTCCGTCTGTTTGGCTGTCTTGGACTGGGACGTCTGCAGGTTGCTTGATGTCTGGTTCAAAAGCGAGTTGAGCTCCTCGGTTGCCCGAAGCGCTTCCAAGCGCGCCGTCGCCAACTGCAGCTGCAACTCTTCCACCAGCGCAGTAAGGTTCTCCGTATCAATGTACACAGATGGCTGGAACGGCAGATCTTCTGGCGCGGGGAACGATGGGTCAGACAGCGTGGTGTTGAGGAGGTCAACTGCGTCATCACCAGTGAAGATGGCGCGGCGACGCCGGCTGGAACCACCCGACGACGTCGCAAGCACAAAAGTCACGTCCATACACACATCTGGCAGCAGCGCGCGCGCAAACCGCATGCGCGCAATCGACGTGCCCGAGGCAGAGAGCAGGTTGAGTTCCTGCGAGTCAGTGATGTTCCACTGCGTTGGCTGAGCGAAGAAATCCTTCACCTGCTGCCGAAGCGTAGGAATCAGCGCACCAGCGTCCTCGTCCACAGAGCACATGCGCAGCGTAAGGGACGAGCAATTGGCCGTGTTGCAGTTGATGCCCGGGTCAAGCGTCAACAAGATGGTTCGGCCAAACAGCTCTTGCTCGTTGATCACGACGCGGTTGAGGATGTCTTCAAGGCGGTTGTCAATGCTTGTCACGTTGCCCTCCAGCACAGACTTGGTCTCGCTCAAACCAACAGCGATGGAACGCTCCGCCAGGGAGGCGCGGGCGGTTTCATCTGAAATGGAGCTCGCCAGCGACGTCTCCGTGGACTCTAGCGTCGACAGCAAGGCGCTGTCACTCGTGGTCACAACAGCAGCCAGCGTGCTCAGCTGGAAATCTTGCAGCGAAATGGCAGAGGAGAGCTCCGATGACAGAAGGTCTTCGGCATTCATTGCGCGCGAAAGCTCAGTCGACAGCTCGAGGGAGAAGCGCGACTCCAGGCTGTTTTCCGAGTTGGTGGCACGGGTGATCTCAAGCGTTAGCCGTGCCTCCGCTGCCGATACGGCAGACTCCAGTGAGTCATCGGCCATGGACACCGTGGAACGCACACTCGAGAACTCATCCTCAATTGCAAGAACGGTGGCAGCAGTGGACGATTCGTGCTTGGAAAGCTCCGATGAAATAAAAGATTCCGTGCTCACGGCACGGCTCGATTCAGACGAAATGAGAGAATCGAGCGTGTCCTCGGCGTTCATGGCACGTGCAACCTCTGCACTCAGGGCTGCACTCAATCGGCTTGACTCGGAGGAGACATCCGACTCCAACGACAACAACGACGCATCCACGACTTCAATATCACTCAACAAGCTCGCTTCCGTGGAGGCAGCCCGTTCATTCTCTGCAACAATCGAGCTGGACAACATGCGCTCAACGTCATTCAACTCAATGCTGTATTCAACTTCAACTGTTGAAATGTCTTCCTCAAGACTATATTCAGAGCTAATGGACCGCGACGTCTCGCTGCTCAGCTCGCTGCTCAGCGTGCTCGACAGGTGAGACTCCGTGCTGTCTGCCCGGCTCGTCTCCGTGCTCAGCTCAGTGCTCAGCGTGCTCGACAGGTGCGTCTCAGTGCTTGCCGCGCGCGAGTTCTCGCTGTTCAGAGAGCTAATGGACCGCGACGTCTCGCTGCTCAGCTCGCTGCTCAGCGTGCTCGACAGGTGAGACTCCGTGCTGTCTGCCCGGCTCGTCTCCGTGCTCAGCTCAGTGCTCAGCGTGCTCGACAGGTGCGTCTCAGTGCTTGCCGCGCGCGAGTTCTCGCTGTTCAGAGAGCTAATGGACCGCGACGTCTCGCTGCTCAGCTCGCTGCTCAGCGTGCTCGACAGGTGAGACTCCGTGCTGTCTGCCCGGCTCGTCTCCGTGCTCAGCTCAGTGCTCAGCGTGCTCGACAGGTGCGTCTCAGTGCTTGCCGCACGGAACGTTTCCACACTAATGCTCACAGTCAAGCTGTTCTCAGCAGCCACGGCACGCGACGTCTCGCTGCTCAGCTCGCTGCTCAGCGTGCTCGACAGGTGAGACTCCGTGCTGCCTGCCCGGCTCGTCTCCGTGCTCAGCTCAGTGCTCAGCGTGCTCGACAGGTGCGTCTCCGTGCTTGCCGCGCGCGAGTTCTCGCTGTTCAGAGAGCTAATGGACCGCGACGTCTCGCTGCTCAGCTCGCTGCTCAGCGTGCTCGACAGGTGCGTCTCCGTGCTGCCTGCCCGGCTCGTCTCCGTGCTCAGCTCAGTGCTCAGCGTGCTCGACAGGTGCGTCTCAGTGCTCAAAGCACGGAACGTTTCCAAACTGATGCTCGCAGTAAGACTGTTCTCAGCAAGTTCAGCACGAGATGTCTCGCTGCTCAGCTCGCTGCTCAGCGTGCTCGACAGGTGAGACTCCGTGCTTGCCGCGCGCGAGTTCTCGCTGTTCAGAGAGCTAATGGACCGCGACGTCTCGCTGCTCAGCTCGCTGCTCAGCGTGCTCGACAGGTGCGTCTCCGTGCTGCCTGCCCGGCTCGTCTCCGTGCTCAGCTCAGTGCTCAGCGTGCTCGACAGGTGCGTCTCAGTGCTTGCCGCGCGCGAGTTCTCGCTGTTCAGAGAGCTAATGGACCGCGACGTCTCGCTGCTCAGCTCGCTGCTCAGCGTGCTCGACAGGTGAGACTCCGTGCTGTCTGCCCGGCTCGTCTCCGTGCTCAGCTCAGTGCTCAGCGTGCTCGACAGGTGCGTCTCAGTGCTTGCCGCGCGCGAGTTCTCGCTGTTCAGAGAGCTAATGGACCGCGACGTCTCGCTGCTCATCTCGCTGCTCAGCGTGCTCGACAGGTGCGTCTCAGTGCTGCCTGCCCGGCTTCGTCTCCGTGCTCAGCTCAGTGCTCAGCGTGCTCGACAGGTGCGTCTCAGTGCTTGCCGCGCGCGAGTTCTCGCTGTTCAGAGAGCTAATGGACCGCGACGTCTCGCTGCTCAGCTCGCTGCTCAGCGTGCTCGACAGGTGAGTCTCCGTGCTGCCTGCCCGGCTCGTCTCCGTGCTCAGCTCAGTGCTCAGCGTGCTCGACAGGTGCGTCTCAGTGCTTGCCGCGCGCGAGTTCTCGCTGTTCAGAGAGCTAATGGACCGCGACGTCTCGCTGCTCAGCTCGCTGCTCAGCGTGCTCGACAGGTGAGACTCCGTGCTGTCTGCCCGGCTGGTCTCCGTGCTCGACAGGTGAGACTCCGTGCTGCCTGCCCGGCTCGCCTCCGTGCTCAGCTCGTTGGACAGCAGTGTCTCTGTGCTCACAGATCGCGACGTCTCGCTGCTCAACTCGGTGCTCAGCGTGCTTGACAGGTGCGTCTCCGTGCTTGCCGCGCGCGAGTTCTCGCTGTTCAGAGAGCTAATGGACCGCGACGTCTCGCTGCTCAGCTCGCTGCTCAGCGTGCTCGACAGGTGCGTCTCCGTGCTGCCTGCCCGGCTCGCCTCCGTGCTCAGCTCGTTGGACAGCAGTGTCTCTGTGCTCACAGAACGCGACGTCTCGCTGCTCAACTCGGTGCTCAGCGTGCTTGACAGGTGCGTCTCCGCGCTGCCTGCCCGGCTCGTCTCCGTGCTCAGCTCGCTGCTCAGCGTGCTCGACAGGTGCGTCTCAGTGCTTGCCGCGCGCGAGTTCTCGCTGTTCAGAGAGCTAATGGACCGCGACGTCTCGCTGCTCAGCTCGCTGCTCAGCGTGCTCGACAGGTGAGACTCCGTGCTGTCTGCCCGGCTCGTCTCGCTGCTCAGCTCAGTGCTCAGCGTGCTCGACAGGTGCGTCTCAGTGCTTGCCGCGCGCGAGTTCTCGCTGTTCAGAGAGCTAATGGACCGCGACGTCTCGCTGCTCAGCTCGCTGCTCAGCGTGCTTGACAGGTGCGTCTCCGTGCTGCCTGCCCGGCTCGCCTCCGTGCTCAGCTCGTTGGACAGCAGTGTCTCTGTGCTCACAGATCGCGACGTCTCGCTGCTCAACTCGGTGCTCAGCGTGCTTGACAGGTGCGTCTCAGTGCTTGCCGCGCGCGAGTTCTCGCTGTTCAGAGAGCTAATGGACCGCGACGTCTCGCTGCTCAGCTCGCTGCTCAGCGTGCTCGACAGGTGCGTCTCCGTGCTGTCTGCCCGGCTCGTCTCCGTGCTCAGCTCAGTGCTCAGCGTGCTCGACAGGTGCGTCTCCGTGCTTGCCGCGCGCGAGTTCTCGCTGTTCAGAGAGCTAATGGACCGCGACGTCTCGCTGCTCAGCTCGCTGCTCAGCGTGCTTGACAGGTGCGTCTCCGTGCTGCCTGCCCGGCTCGCCTCCGTGCTCAGCTCGTTGGACAGCAGTGTCTCTGTGCTCACAGATCGCGACGTCTCGCTGCTCAACTCGGTGCTCAGCGTGCTTGACAGGTGCGTCTCAGTGCTTGCCGCGCGCGAGTTCTCGCTGTTCAGAGAGCTTATGGACCGCGACGTCTCGCTGCTCAGCTCGCTGCTCAGCGTGCTTGACAGTGCGTCTCCGTGCTGTCTGCCCGGCTCGCCTCCGTGCTCAGCTC